CAAGCACGTCAGCATTTCATGGTGTCATTGAAACGTGGAAATGAAATAAAGACCATTGGAAGATTTATTCGTCGATGATTCTGAAGATGATCAATGGACAATAATTTTTGGTATTAAAGAGTAAATACCCTGGAAGGACAATGAATTGACCAATCGACAAGCATTAGTTCTGGGAGTTGTTCATCTCGAGTTGTTCGATAATCAGATCAATCGACATATTTTTGTATAAAGGTTCCTGAACACTTTAATGATGCACATGAATCATAGTGTAATTCTAAGTATCAACCTTAAATGTCGGATTAGATCGGTTAACAATCGATCCCTTCAATAGGACCTCGTTTTTAGAATCCGATCAAATTACATCAGTTTCATGTTATCCATTCTGATACCTACTAAGTGTCTCTGAGAAATACTTGGATATCCTAGTGTGTTCCACATGTACTACATGACGATTTTATATGTTTTTAAATGAGTTTCACCGAAATTATTGATTTACGGGTTTATGAACAATGGCAACATATTATATGTTTTCTGAGTATGGTTTTCACCGAAAATATGAATTATTCATGATTTATGACATCATGGAATCTATTGGTTTTATGATCTATGGTTACTTGAAATATATTATCGGGTTTCCTGTTTTCACTGGAAAATATGATCTTGATAAATCATATACTGCATATTTTTATGAGACAATACCTGATATTTTGAATATAGATTATTTTGATATCTGATTTACCACATATTTTTATATGGTTTCTGGTTACGGTATTTGTGTACATGATTTCTAAATATGGAACATTTTCATATTTTAATGGATTAATTACCGTTACCGCAGGTTCCTTTGCTGTGTGCAAGGGTAAGCCTTACAGTTTCCCCAGGTTCCTTTGCTGTTTGCAAGGGTAAGCCTTACAGTTTCCCCAGGTTCCTTTGTTGTGTGCAAGGGTAAGCCTTACAGTTTCCCCCAGGTTCGTTTGTTGTGTTCAATGGTGAGCCTTACAGTTTCCCTAGGTTCTTTTGTTGTGTGCAAGGGTAAGACCTTATAGTTTCCCATGCTCTTTTGCTATGTGCAAGGGTTTTGCTATGTGCAAGGGTAAAACCTTTCCTTTTTTGCATGCTCCTCTGCTTTTTGCATAGGGTAAATATGTTTTAAAATGATACTGTTTTAAAAAGATATGTATCTTTTTACTGGTTTTGCGGGAACACACTAGATAACCTATTCTGATCTCCTGAACCTAAACATTCGAAATATTTCCATCTGAACTGAATACTATCTGTTACTACCTGGAATATCAATGGGACCTCAGCTCAGCCTAAAAATCTATAGATATATGAACCAATAAGGAAATATATGGTTATCTGTATATGCACGTTCTTTAGTATCATCTGGTAGTTCTGTATTACTGAGCTTTCTGAAACTCACTCTATTACTCACCATTGCAGGTTAAAAAAATTGTACCAATACAGTTATCGACTAAAGTAAGGGAGTTCTTCCGGTGTTGTTTGCAGAGTATGGTACGTGTGATTAGGGGCATATTGTATTTTGTTTTATATGCGAGTCTAAAAATCTGTTTTATTTCTGCATACTGATAAATCATTTTATAAGTTACATGTTTAATTAAAGTTTTAAATTTTTCGCTATTGTTTCAGTGGATCGCTCCGATGGCCCTAATGTGACACTCTAGATCAAATCGGGTTACCCGCATCGATCTGAGGGGGTTACATAGTGACTAAATTGATAGAATTTGTAAATATTAAGGACAAAATATAAAATTATGCCAATTTTATTAACGGACATGTCATCACCTTCGTTAAAAATTAACGGCTGGTAGCTTGATTGAAACGTTTAAATAGTTAGGTGGTCTAATTAATTCAATTAAAACTTTGGTGGTCAAATTGATTTTGACCATAATTTAGTGGTCTCCCATGTAGTTACTCTTACTTTTATATAGTCACTCAATAATCACTCTATCAAATCCCTAGTATTTCATTGTGGATTAAATAAAGTTAAATTATTTATATAGTCACTCAATGATCACTTTATTTCTGTTTTGATCAATTAGTTATCAAAACTTTTATTTTAGTCATAGACATTATCGTTTTATCTTATTTTTAATAATCTACTGTTAAAAAGATAACGAAAATGATAAAGATCTTAATGTTTTTGTCCAAACTTTTTTAAAAGTTTAACATTTTTATCCATACTATTCTAAAAACCAAATGAATCTTTAAATTTAAACAAACTATCCGACCAATGAATAAGTTTAAGTTAAATTTTCTTTTCGTAATTTATTTTTAAGTGATGGTAATAATTAATTATAAATAAAATTTTATGAAGTAATAATTATACTTACGATAATTATTAAAGATTATTAATAAAGCTTAAATTTACTTCTAATTAACGTGCATCATTTATAAATTAAGAAAATAACTTATTGCTATTATATTAACTAATTAATAGTGAAAACTGGTTTTTGAATATATGATTCAAAAGTAAGACAAAGATAAAAAATATATATTTTTCCGAAGTAGGTTAGTTACGAATGCTACTAACAATCATGAACCTAAATCTGACACTGACATTAAAAGTTATTATAAAATCCTTCAACCAAGATTAAAAGAGGGCTCTTCAGCCCAAGTTCTCCCACACGCTCGTCCAATCTTCTATACCAAACGATATTGAACGTTTGTAGCATTACCACAATGAACCACCGACTGCAATTTTCCGTCCAAATCAGAAGAAATAAATTGCTAATAATCACCGCAACCTAAAGATTATCATCAACCACTATAAATATATTAAAATGCTATATTTTTGTGTAAAACTTAAATATTTCAAATCACATCCTTTCTAATAATTTAAAAATGTGAGGATATATTTTAAGTAAATTCATTAACGTTTTAATTAATGTCTCATTTACTTTCATGCCGAACTTGCTTTATTCAATTTGTAGCATTTCATTGTATATAAAATGAAGGGTAAATTACTTATTTTAAATTGACCCAAAAAATTGGATACAAAAACTACTTAATTTGAATTATTATTGTATTTCTAGTTTGGTTAATCAATTATTAAAATATTCATTTTAATCATAAATGTTATCATTTTATCCTTTTGATCACACACAATTTAAAAAATTATGAAAATGGTGCTGACATGGTTTATTTGTAATTATAAATTTCATCAAAAAAATTCAAATAAATTATATTTATAAAAATTTCAAACATACAAAAATTATATTTATGGAAGAGAGGGAAGTTTGTTGGTACATCAATCTAAGTGCCTTTAAAAATCAAAACTTGAATTAGAGGATTCTTGATTTATATAAAAAGAATGAAATGATAACGTTGATGACTAAAATGAAAATTTTAGTAGTTGTATGACCAAATTATAAATCAAATTTATATAATATGTAATCTAGCCCCTAAATTGGAGTGTGACAGACGAGATATGTAAGTGTTGATGACTAAATGTATTCTTATACCAATTAAAAAGAGCATATCATCATTTCATTACTTTTTTACAACCAATGACTAAAAAAATAAAACAATAACATAGATACTTAAAATGAAAATTTAGTAGTTGGATGATCAAAATAAAACTACAATAATTTTTGAGTGATTAAATAGATAAATTACCCTAAAATAAAACCACTACTCTTATACTTCATTTAGGTTGGGATCCAATTATCTTTTTCCTTCTAAATTATTTTATAATATATTAGATTTTATCACATCCACAATATGTGAATGAGAATATTATATGTAAAAAATATTTATAAAAAAATTTAACAATAAATGAATTGGTAAGATATATGAATTCATTAAATAATAATTTTAGGTATTTTATTTAAAAATATATAAAACTATGAAAAGATAAAATTTATTATAATAATATTAATTATTTAATATTTTAAACTAAATTAATTAATATTTGGATTCACTTGTGACAATAACTAGATAAAAAATTATATAATAATAAGGATATAAAATTATACATTATTACACCTAAAAGTATATACATTATTATTGAAACACACTTCTTGCCAAACTCTAAATGCCTAAATGTACTTGGAAGTTGCTGTTTCGCAAGCCTTCTCACTTTCTCTAGCATTTTAACGGCTTTTTAAGAGAATATTAAATTAAATAAATTTTCGGTTCTTTGATAATTGATTTCGTTTATCTTTTTTCTTAAAATTAGATTTGATATTTCCACTACTGATCAACATGACGCTTGTATTTTTATTATACTGATATTTTCTGCTTTGGACACTCAGATCTTTTTTTTTTGGACAATAGGATTGAATTTTGATATACAATTTGCGTTTGCTGATATTTTTCTCACGTCGCTCAACTCTAATTTACGATTTGTCGGTGATCTTTTAGTAGTTTGATCATCTTTTGTGATTCTATTTTCCTTTTATGTCATTGTATGATCTTAAGTGACTAGTTTCTTATGCTAATTTTTACATGAAAATTCCTAATTGTATTAAGTTTACGATTAAGGTTGTAGACTTTTAATGTAATTCCGGATATTTCTTCTTATCTTTTTTTTTAAAAAATTAATAACTAGTCTTCGATCTTTTAATCAATTAATCCATATCAAGTACTGCAAATGAGATACTTCTTCTTTTTAATAAAACTAGCGCTACTATAAAAAAATATTTAAAATTTAAATAATTTTATCCCAATTGAAATATCACATATTTTTATAAAGCTTTTTCAAATTCTGAACTTCATTATTTTAAATGATTTAATTAATTACAATTTAAAAATAAAAACTAATTTATTCATATTCTTCTTGTTGCACTTAAATTTAATTTGATAAATGGAGGAAACTAACCTATAACTTCAACAAAATAGCATATAAATATGGTGGACCATGCATGATCCCAATTAGTGCATGTTTTCCCCTATAAATATCCTCTTTAAAACTCATTGGGAAAACATATTGGTTGGAACACTATAATTTATTCTCTTAAGTTTGACTGCCATCAGACATGGAGACGAACAATGTAGTCAAGTTTCTTCAAGGCAAGACTATATTTGTCACTGGTGCAACTGGATTTTTGGCAAAGGGTACTACTCTTACTCTCTCTTCCTTAAGCTAACGCTGGTTATTACTAACATTTAATGATTCAACCATGGCTTCTAGTCCTTGTGGAGAAGATATTAAGGCTTCAACCAGATGTGAATAAGCTCTATCTTCTTGTGAGGGCTTCAGATGAAAAGTCTGCCACACAACGTTTGTATAATGAGGTATATCTGAAACTGTAAGATACATAGTATATCTGATACTCATATGAGGTAGAAAATTTGTATGCAGATCATAAGCACAGAATTGTTCAGGATTCTTCGCAATCATTGGGATTCGAAATTCGATCACTTGATATCAAGTAAGGTGATAGCAGTGGCTGGTGATGTCTCTTCTGAAAACTTGGGAGTGAAAGACTCAAATTTACGAGAAAAAATGTGGAATGAAATAGAAATTATAGTAAATGCAGCTGCCACAACTGACTTTAATGAAAGGTAGTTTAGATTTCTGTTTAGATGCCTTAATGTTGATTAACGCTCGCTAATAGTTCTTTAATTTACAATAAAAGAAAACTCAGGTTATAGACAAATTTACAATACAAATAACATATAATTCTCCATGAAGTTTTAATCTTCATCTTATTTTTTCTTCCATTTTGAAGGTACGCCGTTGCGTTAAACATCAATACATTTGGAGCTTTTAATGTTTTGAACTTCGGAAAGAAATGTGATAACATAAAGTTGCTTCTTCATATTTCAACAGGTATTATTAAATATGAAACGATCCTTCTTAATTATAATTTTTTATTAATTAATGATTATAACAATTTCTTTCTTTCTTTTAGCTTATGTTTGCGGTGAACAGACGAGAATGATTTTCGAAAAGCAGAGAGACAATATAAATATTTTTGAAGAGAGGAGAATTGTGGAGGAACAAGTAAACCAATTACAATATTATTTTGTGTCGGATAAAACAATGACTTCATCAATGAAGGAACTCGGCCTGGAAAGTGTAGACACCCATTTTTTTTTGTCAGAGTTAAAAAATATTATTAAATTATTATTATTATTATTATTATTATTATTATTATTATTATTATTATTATTATTATTATTATTAAGTGTGTTTATATTTTTGTGCAGGTCAAATGTGGTCCAATTATAAGCAACCCAACAGACCCAGATCAATAACAGTACCAAGCCTCTCCACCGACGAGTCACTAAGGCTAGTCACCTCTGAGCAAGTTGAAACATCATCATCACCATGTCGGCCACTGAACAGCAAAAACAAACAATATCAGCAAAGTCAAAAGCATATCACCTAAATCATACCTAACTTGTCAATATCCTACCAAAAACGAAGAAAACACAGATGCATCCATGAAGATTAGGTGGAGATATCAACCATAAAATAGGCAGAGGATTAGAGGAACAGGGGGGAGAACAAAAAAAAATTAGGAGGGGAAGCTAGATACAAAAAAAACGAGAAATTTTCACCAGCGATAGAAAGATAGAGGGGTCTTGGTTTTCAACAAAAGCAAAGGAGACAAGGAGAATTTTCATTCACCCTTCGAAAAGCCAACAGAAAACCTTGTAGTAAGAATCTCACTTTTGTATTAAAAAAAATCGAAAGCAATAGAAATACAATTTGGGTTCAAGGTATTTTTTTATTTTTATTTTCCCGTTTTCTCTGTGTGTGCATATGTGTTTCAAAATAATAAAAAAAACAATTGAAAAGGGAGGAAAGAAATTTTACCTTAGTGTTGTGAGCTTTAACTGCCGGAGTGATTGTCCTCATCTTTAAGGGACTAGGTGGTCAGTTCCGAAACAGTGAGTCTTGAGTAAATTCTAAAATGATTCGGATGAGATGATTAGATTAAAGCAAAAATAAAAATATAAAATAAAGAGTGAAATATAGTTTCGATTTAGTTTACCTTATGGTGTTTGGGTCTTTGCTGAAAAAGATGAGAGTCATCGTGGATGAGAGCATCGCCGCTTAAGAAATAGGGAAGGGTTTAGTAAGTCTTACCTGGTTAATGTGGTATGTGGTCGGAGCAAGGAACATCCTTAGGAGAAGCTGTCGGTGTTGTGAGTGTTAACCTTGAGCTTCTCGGGTATGGGAAGTAGAAGATAGAGTTGAGATTTCTTTGAAGTTGAAAACGGTTGGATAGTTTAGTTTAAGTATTAGGTTTAGAATAAAGTTAGATTTTATATTAAAATATTTGAAATAATTAATTTTTAGATCACTTGTACATTTACCTTGGAAATTGATTCTTTGTTCATATACATATATATTTGTTTAACGTGTCTTAGGAAGAATAACCATTGTTTATTTGTTTAACATATAGCTTAGTTGGATATTTGTTAAACGTGTATATATATATATATATATATATATATATATATATATATATATATATATATTTATTTAATGTGTCTTGGAAACTGATTTTTTTGTTCATATATATATATTTGTTTAACATGTCTTGGAAACTGATTCTTTGTTCATATACATATATATTTGTTTAATGTGTCTTAGGAAGAATAGCCATTATTTATTTGTTTAACATATAGCTTAGTTGGATATTTGTTAAACGTATATATATATATATATATATTTATTTATTTATTTAATGTGTCTTGGAAACTGATTTTTTTGTTCATATATATATATATTTGTTTAACATGTCTTGGAAACTGATTCTTTGTTCATATACATATATTTGTTTAATGTGTCTTAGGAAGAATAGCCATTATTTATTTGTTTAACATATAGCTTAGTTGGATATTTGTTAAACGTATATATATATTTTATTTAATGTGTCTTGGAAACTGATTTTTGTTCATATATATATATATATATTTATTTAATGTGTCTTGGAAACTGATTTTTTTTTTGTTCATATATATATATATTTGTTTAACATGTCTTAGGAAGAATAGGCATATTTTATTTGTTTAACGTATAGCTTAGCTGGATATATATATATATATATATTAAATTATTAGAGTATATATTTAATTAGCCCATGCATGATCAATTTTAATATATTTTTATTATATTAGATGTATACTTGTATTTACTTTTATATTCTTTATATCATTTATTTAATAAGTATAGTTATCATTTATTTAATAAGTATAATGTTCCATTACTTATTCATAATATGCGTACATATTTGTAAGATAGTTAATATAAATTCATATAGTAACTTACATATACTTGTGTATTCTACATCGAATTAAATCTTTATATTTTAATATTGAGTATTAGTTATGGTTCAAACGTTTAAAACTTATTTATAGTAATCATATATAAGATATAGTTTATATCTAAATAAATGTATATAATTTTTAGAATGTCATGGTAATTTTCATGAGTTAAATAATCATTTGTTTTATTTAATTAATTTTTTTATGATATCTTTATGTGCATAACTCGACATTATTACATGTTTTAGTCATTGTTTTAATTTCGTTTAATTGCAATTTAGACTTCAAGTTTTTGATTTGTTGCATTTTAGTTCTTATAAGTTTAACTACTTATTTTATTTTTTTCTTTAAGTTATTAATTTGAAGTAAATTAATTAAATTCCAATAAATGGATCATATTTTAACTTGATATTTGATTCAGAATTTCCACCATTTACGACAACGTGTAAGCGACACAGTACCAATTTTGGGCGCTGTGGGGGTGCTAATCCTTCCCCACACGTAACCGACTCCCGAACCCATTTTAATCGAATCTTTGGAAAACGCATACCAACTTTTGTCTTAAAAAATGATTTTTCTTAAAATTATTTTTTAAAAGACGTTTTTAGGTATTCGACCTACCTAACCCAAAGGTTGATGGCGACTCTTTTCAATTTAATTCAAATTAATCCAAAATCACCCCATTTTCCAAAATTAAAAGTCATAACTGTTTTTAAAACAATTAAACGGTTGTTCCTCCCGGAAAACGGTTACGACAGCTTGGCGACTCTGCTGGGGACCAGAATTTTTTAGAGAGTCAGTATGTAAGTCGCTTACACATTGTCGTTTGGTAGAAATTATGAGTTCGAGTCTTTAGTTAACTTTTGATCCTTTTATTGAAGTTTTTAATTGCTTCATTTTATTATTGTTTTACTAACATTTTTATCTTTGTTTTCAGATTTGTCCAAAATTTTGTCGAATGATGTTATTTTCCTATTGAGTCAAAGGGTTGAATGTTCCTCCTCACACACGTCACGAGCATTTGCATAACATAAGCTCTATACCCGAGCTCCGAACCTTTCTAAGTGGGGGCGAAAGCGACGCCTTCGTGAGAATTTATTCTCCGTGCAGGCCTAGCAAGTAACCTTCGGGATTCATATACCTTATGTTTTCGTGAGAATTTATTCTCCGCATAGACATAAGGGAATGTATCCTCTCGAATTGAACTCGATCCGTTTAAAGCCTATAATGGGTGAGGATTGAGGGTTTGGCAGCCCAAGGGGGCACTAACATCAAGGACAATTCGAGTACCTTTTTTCTGTTAGAAACGCAACCACGCATATAGTGAACCGTAGAACGATCACCTGAGGTATAGATATATCGAACCTATGTCTGTCAGTAGGTACCCAAAATAGGTGTACACAAAGGAGGAGCGTTTCTGAACTTTTTCTTTTTTTTGCTTTAAATATTGTTTAATAACAGCATGCGAACTAGATACCATGTGGTTAGGATTAATTTCTTGAAAAATTATTGTGGGTATATAACATGTTTGGGTAGATATCATGACGGGGTAGGTGTTATATTCATCTTTAAATGACATTTTTATTTGTATTCAATTTTCTTACTTGTACTAATTCATTTTCATTTTTTTGTGTTTTTTTTGTTATCTGCATTGCATCATTCAAGATTAAGGGTGTTGATCTTTAGTTAATCGTCAAATTGGAAAGCTTTCAATAATGGACGAAAAGTATTTAAATCAAGTAGTTCAAAACTCTGAGGTACGACAGTGGGCTGAAGCATTGCAAATATTGGAAGGGGACAGTTTCCTAGCTGATCACATGTCAGATTTAGCAGGTTATGCTTCCGTTTCTCTTAAAAGAAATGACATCCAGGACTTACGAGACATTTGGGAAAAATGGGAGTCGAGTAAGAAGCGGCAGTTTTACCAGTGTTATGGGGATATTTCCTATCTGTTATATTGATATAGATGATGAGTTGATCCGAGCCTTGATTCAATTTTGGAATCCAGGGTACAACTGTTTCACTTTCAATAAAGAAGACATGGTTCCTACCATAGAAGAATATATTGCCTTGTTGCGCATAGAGGATGCTCAAGAGAATCGGATTTATTCCAAGTCCATCAAAACTCAACCCTTCAGAATCAAATTAGCCAAAATCGCAGGAGTGCGTGAGGAATGGGTGGTTGCTCGTACCAAACAAAAAGGTGAAAGTGAAGGCATTTCTTGGATTGCTATTAAAGGAATCATTCAAAGTCATCCTGACGAGAAAGTGCGATTTGACCTCTTT